ATCTTTAAAATCAGTTGCATAAATGTGATATACAGTAGTTGTTTGTGGAACATACTTCTGTCAGGTGCTATTGTTGTTACATAAAGAATAACACCCAGCCAACAAAACTTCTTTTTGAACCATAACTGTAAGAGACTGCAATTGAAAATGTCATTAAAATGATATGTAATTAAAGTAATCCAATCAAAACCGTCCATTTTATTCATTTATATTTGTATTAAGCTATGAGAATTTGTGTCATTGTGAAAGGAAAGAAAATTTATACCTGTCAAGTAAAGTACTTCAACCTCTAATTTAAGAGAAAAACAAAACTGGAAACTGGAAAAAGCAGCACAAAAACAGTCAAGAACTGGAAACAAATAACTGATTTAAAAAGAAGAACCTATATTTTGCCAAAAAGGCATAAAAGCAGAGATGATTTTAACGCTAAATAATTTTAACTATTCAAACCTTTACCACCAAAATTACAGCTTGACACCGATATTTTTGGAATTTTTGGTTCATCAAAGAATCCAGGAAAAAAACTGATCCAAATTTCCACAAAAATATTAAGCAGCACAACATGTTTTCAATATTATAACAGAATAAGAAATGTTGCACCAAATCAGCATATTAGAATGATTTCTGAAGGATCATGTGACACTAAAGACTGGATTAATGGCTGCTGAAAATTCAGCTTTGCCATCACAGAAATAAATTACATTTTAAAATATATTAAAATAGAAATCAGTTATTTTAAATTGTAATAATATTTTACAATATTACTGTTTTTACAGTTTCAGACCAAATAAATGCAGCCTTGGTGAGCATAAGAGACCTTTCACAAAAATGAAAAAAATAAAATAAAATCTTACCTCAAACGTTTGAACAATAATGTGCATTATTTTTTGCTGTTCAGTAATTTGTTTGTGTTATGTTCAGCTTTGAACTGGGTTCTTGAGACAAACATTTACTGAATAAATGAGCAAAAGTCAGAAACTGCTACAACTATTCCTGCTTCTGACCTGATATTGTGGGCACAGACTGTTTCAAATCAGAGTTAAAACAATGCCGAAGCAGCAGCCTAAACAAGCACATTGACATTCAGCTTCAAGCTGAAGGGCAGTTGTGAATTGAATTTTTGCTGTCAACCGAAGATGAAAGAAGCTGGATTTTCTTTTAACTGACACACAGCCTTAAAGTGGAAGGATAACAGCTAACTCCATGTCCCCAAGCCAGCCCATCCACATGGAAATCAGTCCAGCCACCATCGGGTCACCAGTCTCCAAATTTAAAAAGCCAACGGTACTCTTGCTATTTGAAGGACAATAAACCTCAGGCCTGAATTGCTAATCATGTGCAAATAAAAGAATAAAACACTGATAAATGGAGGTGTAATAGCAAATGTGGAAAACTTTAGACATACTTCGGGAGCAAATTAGCCAATTTTCTGAGTAATGAGAAGTTTAGCCACTAATGGTTTGTACCAGGAAAATAAATTAGCTTCGACAACCAACAACTGTACTGTCGTTTGATTTTCCATGATCTCAGCATGATAATTACTCAGGTGTTTATTGCTGAATTTTGAGCTGTACCTTTCCTTTATGATTAACACTCTGAACATAAACATTTAGACCATGCAGAATCTACTGAAGCAGATGTTTATCAGCATGATAAACTTGATCAATATATATACCATCAGTCAAAAGTAATATACCAGTCAAAAAATAATTACCAGTCAAAAGTAATTATTATTGTAATTATTATTATTATTATATTGTGATTATTGTGATATATAGGTAATATAAATGCATGGATAGGACAAAAAAAGGATGAGAAAAATCACATTGCTTTTCTTAGAATAGCTGAGACGTCCTCAGAAGTCCTCTTGAATTCTAAGCAACACCCTTGAGCATCACCTGATGATAAACGTTTCCCTGGAGATTTACGAGTTCAGGTTAGAATGCATTAACCCCTTCACCCAGGATCTTCAGTGTGTTTCACCATCAGACGTGGACTGGCACACGCACACAGTCTGTAGTGCACATCCAGACATTAGCAAGTGAACATTAAAGTGCTAAAGCTAAAGCTAATGTACAAACAAATATGTAATGGACAATGTCCATTAAAAGACTCAGCAACAAGATCAACACTGCAGCAATTATCTTCCAATATAAATATTTGTACATTAAATATTGACAAAGTGTAATAATAGCCTATTATCTGTATACTATCTTAAAGCTTCAGCTAAGAAAATAGTCCATTTTAATGTACAAAACAATTAGCAGCAAGACAAACAATAATATTAAAACTTAAGTCCTCTGAGGTCATTTTCTCCACAATTGAAAAACAGACACACAAGATGGTGCAAACTGCATTTGTATGAAACAATAGAGAGCAAGTCTGTGGGATATAAAAGTAGCGCCAGTTTCAGTCAAGTCACCTTTATTTATATAGCGCTTTTAACAATACAGAAAGTCACCAAAAGTTAGTTAGTTCAGTTACCAAAAGCGTGAACGATGTTCCCATGGACAACTGTGAATATAAGGAAATATCAAACTACTGAATTCCACAATTATCCAATGACCTGTGCAATAATAGATGTTAGTTTCTACTTACTGAACCTGATTGTTATTTTTGGCAAGTGTGTATTTACACACAGCACTCTGAATGCAGTCTTATGATTGTTTCTGTGTGCCAAGAACTGTGCAAAATCATACACTAAACCATTTCCTATCTCTCTGCTTTCCCTGCCGGCTGAAGTGTTTATTGGCATTTCCATCCACACTCTGATTTAACAGTTGTATCAATAATTTATGCTCTGACTGTCTGACAGTAGTGTTTTCCCCCACTGCTCTGCTCAGCAGAATGATAATAGAACAAAATAGTCCACTGATTTACTGTTGATCAGTAACATTACGTTTCAGTGCCTAAATCTAGCTTTACATTTACGTCATCCAACTATAAAAATTACTAATGTTGTGGACATTCTTATTAATTCTTATGATTAATGCGCAAACCTGGTAATGTATCTCTAAAGCAAAGCTGCAAATCCATGCTTGTTATTGCCAAGAAGTGTGGAAAATGAGAATATAATGCACACTGGATTTATGCAAGCAGTTATGCTTGGCATGCAATGATAGCCAATGGATTTTTGCTGCAAACATGTAGCCTATCCAGGTCCAGGTTTGCAGTAAATTGATCAGTGCTTGTTTTTATATAATAAAAAAGAACTATATAAATACATATGATAAAACAAAACTATAAGCATTGCTTGCAATGTTTTCGATAATGAATTTACCAATAGAACAAATTAAATACAGCTGAACTAAAAAACAAATACATACAATATGTGAAATAGCTCCATCTAGTGAGTAAAATTTTCCTGTACAGTGATTTCATATGGATATAGACGGCAATCTATCTAACCCAATCTAAGCTTGCAGAAATAATCATGGGTTCTTAAACAAGACTGAGCAGGGTGCATTTCAGCCCTAGCCATAGCATTACTGCATTGAAAGTCTTGCTTTAAGGCAAAATATCTTCTTAAGGATGAATACATCAAAGTTATGTGGCAGTTTCTTCACCACATCAGTTGTAAGCCTGTTAAAATGCACTCAATGTCATGGCTAATCAATAAGGAGCAGCAACATGAGGCCAGAGTCAAAGCGTTTTCTCTCAAAAGGGAGTGTCAGCATTTTCTGGGCCAATAAAAGCTGATGATGGACCACACAGTTCATGGGAATGTTAGACTACTTGTTTGTAAAATAATAATTGTGAAGAAATGTGTAATGTGAAGATGCATTCTAACGAATACATAAAAAAAAAAAAAAGAATATTCCTAGAATGTTCATATTTAATGGCAACTAACTTGATTAAATGTATAGTCATTTGCATTTCTGGCACAAAACTGCTTCAGGATTAGATTTATTTATTGGACCTCTTGTAATTCAATTTAAATGTAAAAAAAAATCATATCTCATTTCATACTTAAAACCTGTAAGCACACACACTAAATCCAGATTTAGAATTGAACATGATTCAAAAATCTGACAACTTTTTTAATCATGACGTTTAAAATCTTATCTGAAATGTTCTTTTCAAAAAGACAAAATTTCTGTTTTTCCATATAACCATTCATTCACTCAAATAATTATCTCTGATTATGCATGCAAAGACAGTGTTGGCAGAAAGATTATTTTACAGCACCAGGGGGCCTTGCATCTTAAATCAAAATCTAGCAGAGCGCGAAATAATCCCTTTGCTCTGAAGCCAAAAAAATTAAGAGCAAACATTAAAGGGGTCATATGATGTTGCTAAAAAGAACATTATTTTGTGTATTTGGTAATGTTCAATCTGATTAAAGATTTGAAACATAGTTTTGTGTGTGTATTTAGCTATGGAAGGTCAAGGCTAGATCTCACTATTTATATTCCAGTTAATATTTTCAGAGTGGTGTTATGAAATCCAGTCTACGGAATATTTCCACCATTATTTCCTAGAAAAATAAATAAATAAAATGTACAGTTTATTGAATTAATAGAGGGGCATGTTGTCGCACAGAATGGGAAGGCTGCAGCATACTGACATAAGAAAAATAGCATAGTTAATAAATAAAATAGTAGTTAAAAATAAAAATCTTATCTTCCACAACATGCAACTGATAAACAACTCTAATTAATTCATTTAAAATCTGTCTTTGCTGAATTAAAAATTGGAATTCATAGGCTACAAAAAAATAATAATGTGCCATTACTGGATAAATAGATTTACGATTTTGAAACTGAACATGATCCACTGCCAGAGAAAGCAAGCATTAATGCAACCTCCTGGACTTTTATTAAAAACCTGATAACCCCCCCCCCCCTTAGAGACTTAGAGAGTCCGTACAAACATACCGGTTTCATGCAGAAAGGGAACACAGAATCTCAGTGTAATTATAAAGTAATAGATGAGCGTCCGTGTGCGTCGTCAGTTCAACAGTTTGGACAGTCAAACTTGAGATCGCGTCACCATGTAACTACTGCACAAGTGTCCAATGAGGATCTCTGATGATGCGGAGTCATGGCGCTGACATGAGCGGAGAGAAAACAGACACATTAGCAGAGTTAACCGCTGAATAGAGATATAGGAAAAATTATACCAATCTGTCAAACTATCCGAAGCGGATAGCAACCGAAATCGTTAACAGCTGGATTCGGTAAGTAGAAAAGCGTCAGGAACAGCCCTGTGCATGAAGGTGAAAATGTGACGCTTCTCGTGGTGTTTTTCTCAACAGAAGCTGACAAACAGCAGACGGTTATTGTATCGGAAACCGATTTCACGTGTGTTTCTGTAGTGATCATGACGCTCAAGTCTTTGTGATTGTTTTAATGGATAAAAAAAAAAAATATTAGAAACGTTTCCGTTGTTACGTTAAGCCTTGTTGGTGTCTAGTTGGCAGTAGGTGAAGATAAGCATGCATGACATTAACCAATGACTTAAATCTTAAAGGGGTCATATGATGCTGCTAAAAAGAACATTATTTTGTGTGTTTGGTGTAATGAAATGTGTTTATGCGGTTTAAAGTTAAAAAAACACATTATTTTCCACATACTGTACATTATTGTTTCTCCTCTATGCCCCGCCTTTTTGAAACGCGTCGATTTTTACAAAACTAATCGGTCTGAAAAGCGAGGTGTGCTCTGATTGGCCAGCTATCCAATGCGTTGTGATTGGCCGAATACCTCAAGCGTGAGAAGGAAATGTTACGCCCCTTGGCTAACTCTTAACTTTTATAAAGAATATCTCTTTGGATTTGAGACTTTAGTCTTTGCAACTTTACAGATCTTCTTTATGCACCAAGAGCTTGTAACACTCTAAAGAGAAAGGAAAAAATGAAATCGCATCATATGACCCCTTTAAAATAGACTGGATTTTGAAGGTCTCCTGGCTATAGGCTATAGAAAAAAGGTCTGATGAAAGGTTAAAACTAGCTTTAATCCCAACATTCAAGGTCTAGACATTGTTAAAATTTTTGTAATCAATAAATTTGTAACGTTAAACAATTAACTTTATACCATATTGACTGTATGCTTTATACGCAGTGCTGGGTGTTGGAATAACTACATACCTACCTACCTTTTATTTTTTATTTTGTCAGTTTCAGTTGAAAGTGAGAGGATGTCTATTTTTTTCTTATATATGTATATATATACTGTATATACATATGTATATATATATATACACACACACACACACACACACATACAGTACATATAATTTGAAGAAATGCTATATATATGTATGTATATATGTATGTATGTATATATATATATATATAT